CCTCATAGAAATTGTGTTCTTTCATCAGCAAATGGAGTTTAAAATACCTTATGATACTATGGTTATGGAAAAAAATCCATGTGCACACATATAATGTATATAAATTTAGATGCATACATGAAGTTTTTAAGAGTAAAAATATATGAGGTCTGCAAATTACCTTAAAAGACTCCAACAAAAAAGTGTGAGAAGTTAGGTAAAATAAATACCAACAAAGTTGATGGTAGCTGAAACTGGATGAAGGGTATTTGGGGAGTTTTACTCTCTATTTTTACTTGAGTATGAGACTTTCAGAGTAAAATGAGAAAGTACTCCTAAGGTGGAGGTTTGTAGAAGTTACTCAAATGTGACTTGTATTTCCCAATACTTTACAGAAGGATTTAAGAAATGTAATAACATGGTTTTTATTAGAAACTCTAATTTTAATGACCCTGGTCTACTTTCAACCTTTATGATCCAAAAAAGGCTTTCTAGCCATGGAGAACTTATCTGGAGCTCTAGTCAAGTCTACTGACCTTAAGAATCTCTGCAAAAACTTTATGAATCCTTTTAAGTTTTTGCATGGCCCTATAACTACTGTATATATTGTGCTTGCTCCCTGGCCTTGAAATCAGTACATCTGCTAAGACCATGTAAGCCAGGACTGTGGTAAGCACCTGCTGAAATGTCTGTGTTTGGCATTATTTCTATCTATTGTAGAATTTGTGTGAAACTGAGATGAGTACTCCTAAAGGAATATTTATTCTCAAGACTATTTGAGGCTGTTGGGTATTAGTTGTTGTTAGGTGTCAACAAGTTGGCTCTGACTCTAGTGACCCTATGCCCAGCTGAACAAAACACTGCCGGGTCTGCGCTATTCTCGTAATTGTTATGTTAGAGCCCACTGTTGCTGCCACTGTGTCAATCCATCTTGTTGAGGGCCTTCCTCTTTTTTTTGCTGACTGTCCTGTTTACCAAGCATGATACTAGTTCTCTAGGGACTAGTCCCTCTTGACAACATGTCTAAAAGAATGAAGACAAAGTCTCGCTATCATCACTTCTAAGGAGCATTCTGATTGTACTTCTTCCAACCTAGATTTATTTGTTCTCTGGAAGTCCATGGTCCTTTCAGTATTCTTCACTAACACCATAATTCAAATACATCCATTCTTATACTGTCTTCCTTATTCATTGTCCAACTTTCACCTGCATATGAGGCAACTGAAAATATTATGGCTTGGGTCAGGCACACCTTAGTCCTCAAACTGACATCTTTCCTCTTTACATACTTTGAGAGGTCATTTCCAGCAGATTTCCTAATGCAATACATGTCAGTTGCTTTTTGACTGCTGCTTCCAGGGGAATCGAAGCAAAATGAAGTCTTTGACAACTTAAATCTTTTCTCCATTTATCATGATGTTATTTATTGGTTCAGTTGTGAGAATTATTGTTTTGTTTACATGGATGTATAATTCATATTGAAGGCTGTAGTATTTGACCTTCATCAGTAAGTACTTCAAGTTCTTTTCATTTCAAGCAAGCAACATTGTGTCATCTGCATATCAAAGATTGTTAATGAGTCTTCCTCCAATACTGATGGTACATTGTTCTTCTTCATATAATCTAACTTCTTGTACTATTTGCTCAGTGTACTGATTGAACAACTATGGTGAAAGTATACAACACTAACGCATGCCTTTCCTGATTTTAAACCATTCAATATCCCATTGTTTTGTTCCTTATAAACACAATTAATTGTTCTGGAATACCCATTCATTGAAATGTTATCCATTGTTTGTTATGATCTGTAATGCCTTTGGTATACTCAATAAAGCACTAGTAAACATCTTTCTGGTATTCTCTGCTTTCAGCCAAAATCCACTTGATGTCAGCAATGATATCTACATCCTCTTCTGAAACCAGTTTGACTTTCTGGCAGCTGTCTGTTGATGTACTGCTGCAACCGGTTTTTGAATTATCTTCAGCAAAATTTTACTTGCGTGTGATATTAATGATATTGTTTGAAGTACTTCATATCAAAGAATATTTTGCAGTTAATTTCTATTATAATTCCATGAGGTATATTTTATGAAATGATTTCATTTCCTAAATGTAATACTTTTTTTTTGTTGTTGTTGTTAAGTGCCATCAAATCAGTTCCGACCCATTGTTGTTGTTGTTGTTGTTATGTGCCGTGGAGTCAGTTCCGACTCATAGCGACCCTGTACAGGGTTTCCAAGACTGTAAATCTTTATGGGAGCAGAAAGCCTCATTTTCTCCCGCGGAACAGCTGGTAGTTCCGACCCATAACGACCCTGTAAAGAGTTTCTGAGGAGCAGCTGGTGAGCTTGAATCGCCAACACCTTGCAGTTCAAACGGCTTTGCAGT